GGTGCTCAAAGAGTATTTCTGGGAGGAAGTAAACATAGTTTAGAAAAAGGCCTAAATATTGCAGGTTCCTGGAGCAGCCCTTCTTTGATACACTATAGAGATGTAATGCAAGTCTTCATTGTGGAATGGAGATACTTATGAATAAAGAAAGCATTCTATCATCCTCTTTCTCTCCCCATTGTCCCTACAAATGGCGGTTACCATCTATGGCACCAAGATTACCTACTCCAGGCACCAGGCTCCTGGTTTTTTAGTAATTTTAAAACAGCTTTTTTTTCCCCCTTTTGCCAACACTGCCAATCTATCTTCACACAAGCTGTTAATCCTGTGTTAAATCTCTATTTTCCTTCCCACAAAACAGGTCCTCCTCAACGCACACTTCAGTTCTTGTGGTTATCTACTCCTCAAAACTACCTCCCACCTCCTTCCTTGAGTTCATCCAAATGCAGCAGGTATGATTGTTGAATAGGAGTTTTCATTACTTCGGTACTCGTTCATTCATTCAAGAAATAACCAGTCTTTTCAACCAGATTAAAGACTAGTTCCTCCCTTTTAGGCTGATCTCTTTGTTCCACAATCTCATTCTGTCTCCTCCCCCCCATCTCCAAAGAGTTTGGAGGTTGTGAACACTACTTTCTTAGCTCTTTTGAATAATAATAAAAAATATAATAATAACGAAGTTCTTTAGGAAGCCTTTGGCTTCACCTACCTCTGATCACAGATGAGCAGAATATCCAAGCTGTAAGTATATTCCCTCTGTGCAGTGTTCTCCTGGGCATGGCTGGGCTTGATTGCTGCACTGTTCTGGAGGCCAGAGATCTTTCTGAGGATGATGACCCAATGCTGGGGCCTCACCTCCTACCTAACCTTGGCAGCACTGAAACCTTCTTCCTCCTCTCTGTTCCCTCTTCTGCAAACCCTGTGAGGTTTTTTACTGGGCTTTGGCTTTTGAAAACATAAACCAGGGGAACCAGCAGTTAGTGTAATGGCTATGTCGCTGGACTCCCACGTAGTCAACCGTGGTTCACATCCCGGACCTGGTGGCTTAAAACTCATGCTGGGCGCGTGTGCGTGCGTGCCCAAGATCCCTGGAGAAGAAGGGATTGCAGTGTGGTCATTCCCCCGGGGAGGTGATTTCTTGCTTTCTGTCTCTCTGTCTCTCTCTGTCTGTCTGGCGAGCGCACGCGCCCTATAGTGAAAAATACCTCTCCAAAAAAACCAAAAACATAAACCATAAAATGGTCTGTCTTATATTCTTCCACAGGGTTAACTCTTCAGTTGGCTCTCTTCTTAAGTGACAGGAAAAGAAAAAGAAAATGTAGGAGAAAAAAATAAATTATTTTCCAGTTCTAAGATGAAGCAGCATTTGCTGAAAAGACACACCTAGGTAATATCTGATAATACAAAATTATCTTGTAAGGTATTTGAGGAAGATACACAGTGGAACACTAATTTTATTCGACTTAAAGTAAATACAGTCTGGTTCCCATAAATCTCATCTAATATTATGTGAAGTTTCCCCCTCCCCCCCGGCCCAAGTCTCTATACTTTTATACTACATAAACTTAAGAAAATGTGTAAGAATTAATGTGTCATAATCATTTTACATTTCTGGAATGAAGGGTAAGAAAAATGGACTGAATATTTGAGACACACAAAGATTAAACTTTTCCCTTTAAATTCACAGGAAATTTGTCTTTGAGTAAGTGGTCATTGTCCCTGAGAAACCTGGAGGCAGAGATTGATGTAAGAAAGAATAGTCTGTAGAATAAGAAATCTAGCCAATGGCATAGTGGCAATGCAAAGCTACGGGATGCTGATTGGATGGCCCTTGGCTCTTGTCCCAAGGCCTCCCTGTACACACCAAGCATTGGCTCATGATCTTGGACAGCTGAGATTGGGGTGGATTGCAGTGTGAAGACTATTGAGGTGTCTGTTTATCTCATATAAAAAAATAATAACCAGCAAACTTAAATTAAAAAAAAAAACTATGAAACACAAAGTCCTTATCCAGAAATGGGTCTTTTCTCATATGCAGAAGGTCCACCATTAAAATAATATGGAAAGGGAACCAGCAGTTAGCCTAATGGCTATGTCGCTAGACTCCCACGTAGTCGACCGCCGTTCGAGTCCCAGACCCGGTGGCTTAAAACTCACGCCGGGCACGTGTGCGTGCGTGCCCAAGATCCCAAGAGGAAAATGGAGGAGAAGGGATTGCGGTGTGACCATCCCCCCTGGGGGGTGATTTCTCGCTTTCTGTCTCTCTGTCTCTGTTTGTCTGGCAAGCACACGCGCCCTATAGCGAAAACCTCTCCAAAAAATAAAAATAAAAAAAAAATATGGAAAAACACATGACTTATCTTTTTATTCTAATTTCTAATTCTGAAGATTTATTTTCAAATTTCTTAATGTTCATGACATTGTATTCTTTACAGGAAGAATAAACGTGACTCCAGATTCCAGCCTGTGTGACAGGATTCTTAATTTTCTTTGTGCTTTTCTTTCCTTCCTTTTCTTTCTTTCTTTCTTTCTTTCATTTGTCAGAAGGTGTGTGTGCTCATGAGACAGAGAAAGAGAGAAATGAAGAAAGCACTCCCAATGAGGCATAGTTATGTTGCAGTCCCTACTCCATTTTCCCATTCTGTCAGGATTTGGCACATGCAAGAATATGTACTAGGTGTTTTTCTTTTTTTAAACTGTAGGTCATCTATGTAGGATCTAGTTCCTTTAACAACCAGGCCACAAGGCTTGTATGTGAGGATTTCTAAGCAACAGAACAAACCCTGCTTCATTCTGTTTCAAAGTTCACATGGTCTCACTCAGCTGTTTATCAAAAACTTTCACAGTAGCATCCCTACAGCTCCCTTTAATAGGTCAAAGATTTTGCCTATTGCAAAATAAGAATTGAAGTTCAAATCAAGCTATAAATCCAGAGGGCATCCAAGGGCACACAAAATGCATTCAACTGGGAATTGTGAAAGGGAAAGTTAAATTTGGGCTGATAGAGTGAGAAAGTATTTTACTGAAGAATTGAACTTTGAAGAATATTCAAAAAAGTCTCGATGGGTGCAGTGGTTAGGCCCTGCACATAGAAAGCTGGATCCCACTTGCCTGACATGCTTTGAATCCTGGCCCCAGCAGCTTTTGAAACATACATACTGTGTGCAGGCATGCTAAAAATCCTGATGGTATAGACAGATGGGAGAAAAAGAACTGTGAATGGCCACACCCATAGTCCTTCTCTGTCTCTGTCTCTCTTTCTCTTTCTAGCTCTCCCTCATGAATGCAAATACCCTCTAGCAAGAAAAAGCAATGCATCAAATGAGTGAACATTCTAAATGGAGAAAAAACATAAATAAAAATAAACATGCACTATATGACAAATGTGATCACCTTACCATGTGCCTCCTCAGTACCTGGAACATAGGCTGCCCTTTAGTATTAATACAAATAATTAATTCTTCTCCTTTGGTATTTTATTATTCAGAAATGTTTATAAGTATTTATATTTTAGACTGCTAAGTGGAAAGGACTTTGTTCTCTGTTTTATTTTTATTCTTTGTGAGATTTTTGCTATAGGGCACATGCACTCACTGGAGAGAGAGACAGAAAGCAACCTCCAGAGGGGATCGCCATGCCACAATCCCTTTTCCATTCCCCTCTTGGGATTTTTGGCATGTACACATGTGTGTCCAATGTGAGTTTCAAACTGCTAGACGTGAACCACAGTAGGCCATGTGGGAGTCCAGCGCTTTAACCACTACACTGCTTGCTGCCTCCACTTTGTTTTCTTTTTACTTTTCTTTTTTCCCTAGCAGTTGATCATTATGTCCTGCACACAGAGAGAGCAAGATAAATACCATTGGTTCACTGAAGTCCCATGTATCCTTTGCAACTTATTGGAAATGCATGACCAGAACTTTCCGGCTCACAACGGTGTGAAGCAATGAGACTTCTCAGCCATGTCTCTCTAGCTCAGAGCTTGGCTCCTACGAAGGGCATCTACTCTTGAGATTTTTTGTTTTGTTTTGTTTTGTTTTTTGCTGGAAATGATGAATGTGTTTATTTTCTTTGTTCAATCATTACATGGTGTATATGTGTTTTGAAAAATCCATATTGTTCCTCATAAACCTGCACAATTATTACATGAAAATTAGAGATTATGACAAAATTCTTTTTAAATATTAAAAAGACAGAATAGCCTATCTTTCATTTGTTTGCTTTTTCCTTATTTTATCTCACTTAATCCTTATAAGAACAATATAAAGCAAATATAATTACATATTTTATAGATGAAGCAAATAAGTGATGAAACTTATACATGGTTATGCAATTATTGACACTTTTTCTTTTTTGTACATTATAAGAATTACTTATAATTTTAAAAAAGAAGAAAGATGCAGACCAATGAGAAGAAAATCAGGGTTAGTGCTAAAGGTATATGGAGACAGGGTACCTGCGTGACTAGTGCTAAAGGTAGTATGGAGACTAGGTATCTTTCACGTTACACGAAAAAACATAACATCCTAAAAAGTCCAGTGAAAGACAGAATAACTGGAAATGCCAGAGCCAATTATTATAAACCTGTTACATCCTGTATGCACACTAGTTATAATATATGTAATTTATGAGTACAATTAACTGCCCATATGAAAGTGTCCGTATGGAGCCTATAGCATATCAATTCAAACAGGAAAACTAGATTTCTTTGCAGATCTATTCACTGGTATTCCGGGTCACATATACTTTTTCCTTTCTCTGTCCTCACAAGAACTTATCACTCAAAACCTTCATCCACTCTCCCTCTTTTCTATTTTTTGAAGAGATGATATCTCATCTTAAATATCTTTGCGTATATAATGTCTACCACTGACCTGGCACATAATACACATTCATTGAATTTTTATTAACAATTTATTAGACTTGCAAAAAATTTCAAAAGATTATAGACAGTTTGTATCATTTCTATTCCTTGATTTTTCTGTAATCAAGATGAAGCCTTAGGAGCCTTTTGTTTTTCGGATGAGTCCTTCGATTGCATCCCACTGTTCCTTGGTGACCTTCTTCAGGATGTTGAATTCGCCCAAAATAAGTACTTCCTCTATACCATCAAATCTAAGGACCACTCTGTTTATCTAAGAAGCATAATCACTACAAAGAAAAGAAGCAAGATTTGCAAGTTCTTCCACAATTCCCAGCAGACCACAGGAAATTCTGTCAATCATGTCTTTCTCAAATGCTCCAGTTGGGTCTAGACGGCTAACAGCACCTTTTATATTTATAGACCCTGGTTGAATCACGTTGAATCGCAGTCCATATTTACCCCATTCAGCTGCAAGAGACTTGTACATCACTTCCACATCGGCTTTGGTGGAAGCACTTGGTACTACAAAACCTGAGCCTGTCTCAGCATAGATGGTTGTAATACCCAGAAATGCTGCTCCTTTCTGCGCTTTAATTAGCTGCTTTCCAACTTCTAGGGTCACAAAAGCAGTGCCATTTATAGCTATGTCAGTTATGGTCTTCCAGGCATTAGGAGAGAGTCAGTGGGAGAAATAAAATTCCCTGCTGCATTGCTTGTCACAATATCAGGATGTCCTACAACTTTGATCATTTCTGTCACAGTGTTTTGAACCATCTCAGGATCCCTCACATTACATTGAATTGCATGAACCCTATATCCAGTTTGAGAAGAAGTTTGTTCTGCAGTGGCTTTAAGAACATCACTCTTCCAGCTGGCTATCACACACTGAACTCCTAGGCTGGACAAAAGAGTTGTCATTCCTTTGCCAAGACCAGTACCTCCCCAGTAGTGAACACTGCTTTTCCCTGAAAACTATTAGGTGGTAGCATTGCTTTCTGAAGGGGTGGAAAGAATTTTGATTGCAAAGCTTCAGTGTTTTGATATAATATTTTTGTTCCATTACTGAAAAACTGAGGGGAGCAGAAGCTGAAGTCTTGTCATTATCAACTCCCATGCCAGTGGTCAGGGCTGCTGAGGTGGTGAGTCTCCTGTACTTCTGGCCTGTGAGCTTGATTTATGGAAAGACCTCAAGAACAGAGGTGCAGACACTGTTGCTTCCTGCCATCCTTCCTAGCCTCCTTAACTCTCTCTACTCTTGTGATTCTTTTGACACTTACTTCATTTAGGTTTGTTTCATCTTTCTGCACCCTGCCCTCTCCCCATTTCATCATTGCTAAGAGATAATGATAATGACAATAACACCTACCTCATAGACTTACTGTTTGGAGGATAAAATATACATATAGATACAGGTATAGGCTTATGCTATCGTCAAAAGTGAATTCCCTTTCCTCTCCCCATTTCTAGGATAAAATTAAAAATCCTTCAAGGATTAACCAGTGCCAGGAAGACACAAAACACAGTTAAGAAGTGCAGTGAAAATTTCAGTCATTTCACCATTGGATCTCTCTAGCTACTTGGTGTAGAAGGTGAAAACACAACACGAATGTAGATTTAAGAGTTCAACAAGAATAGCAAAACACTTGGCAATTGAAGAACACAGAACCTCAACGCAGACCTGCCCCAAAAATACCAGTTCATTTACACAGTAACTCCTCATCCTCGGCTTAGAAATCCTGGGAACAGCTGTGTATTTTCTCTTTGTTTTGAAAACTCGGTCCAGCTGCCTCTTGACCCACTGTGCAGTTTGGCAGTTTGCTTCCAATTCTGCTCATCTGCCTTGGGTGGAGAGTCCTGCCTGTGGAGCCTTCAGGCTTGTGCCTTTCCAGAACAACCTCTGGGGATGCCTACGGGAGCACTAGGGACTATTTTGCCCAGTTCCTCTTCATCTAATTCTTGTTGTTGGCATTCTCTTGTCTCTTCAACAGACTCTTCACTTCTATTCTGTCATTTGGGATTGAAGCAATTATTATACATTCATCTCTCAGTTTTTCTTTACATCTCTGTTCCTATACATTTAATAACTGTAGTGCTCCTTTGTCTTATTTAAACTCATCTCTGCATTTCCATAGTTTTGAAAGTGGGATGCGAGTTTTTGCTTCAGAGGTTGAATCTGAAACATCTGTTTTTGAAAAATAGGAATGCTCTGGGAAAGACCTTCTTTAAACTTTATACCATGATCTTTTTTGTTTTTCTTACTAATTTTCTCACTGGACATAGGATGAAAAAAATATCAAACTATTCACTTTAACTTACTCCTGTGTGATTGTTATGGATAATCCTATTTATTATAAATACACTGATAAGACAATCTTTGACTTCTACTGTACAGAATCAGGGACCAAAAGAAATTCTGAAGTTTAATTTTTAGTAGTTCATTTGCCAATTAGTATAATAATCTTCTTCCAAAGAAACTGAGTAAAAATGAATTCATCCCCCAGAAAGCATATTGTTCATCTACTTAGACATTGATAAACTATTAGAAATTGCTTAACTACTAAGAAATAGTGGAGGAGCATGGTGGATTTACTTAGTATGATGAACAAAATTAATTTAAGGATCTGGGTATACAATTTTCATGGAAAGTACATGTTTGTTGTATGTGCATGTATGTGATTAGATATTTTTTACTCAAATATGGTACTATTGGCACTGTATTTGTCAAGGGTTAGAAACACTAATGCCTGAGTAATGGTTTGTTAATATTAATTTTGTTTCCAACTACTCTCACACTTATAAGGAAGGACTGAGTGTGTCCTTGCTATCAATTCTTTAAGAAAATGTTTATTCTAATATAAAAGTTTGATCACCTATCTCAAAACTGTCACTGGAAACCTTATTCCACAGAAGATAAAATTAAAGCTCCTTAGCCTATTGTTGAAAAGGAAAAATGGAAATCTTCATAATATAGATGCTGTTTTTGTCTCAAAGCTCACTGTGGCAGAAAGAGTTAGTAATCCAATCTGATATTAATTTCCAACTGCTCCTCTCCCCTGTTGCTCTACAGCAGAAACTTAAGAGCTAAATGGTCACTTTCTCAACTTCTCTTTGAAGCAGAGGCTATTATGTCACATAGGACTGGCCAAAGAAAAAGTTGTGGGCCAGCCAGGTGGAATGGTGGTTAAGGAAGTTATCCCACATAGCTGACTGTGTGGTTAGAGTCTCAGACTAGATCATTTGAAAATCATGCTGGGCTCATGGGCATGTGTGCTCAGGGTTCCAAGAGGAGAATAAAAGAGAAGAGACTGTGGCATGGCCCTTTCCTTGGGGGATGATTTCTCACGTTTTTTACTTTCTCTATCTCTCTACCTCTCTCTGGCAATTGCGTGTGTCCTATGACAAATAAATAAACAAAATGAAGTAATACAAAATATTTTAGAGAGATTAAACATTGTAATTTCAATGGGAGTGTTTGTTCATTTATTATGGTAACAGCTTAGATAATCACAAGTGGGTCCATTCTGTGGAAGTGAAATTAAACTGTTCTCTCATCTTCTATAATTTTCTTCCACTTTGCATCAAACAAAATTTATGTTTAAGACTTAGTTTTTTTAAGTTTCGTTTTGTTTTGTTTTTGCCATAGGGCATGTGCATTTCAGAGAGAGACAGAGACAGTGGAAAAGAGAGTGAAAAACAACTCCCTGGGGGTATGGCCATGCCACAATCCCTTCTCCTCCATTCTCCTTTCAGGAATTTGAGCATGCACAGACATGCACCTGGCATGATCTTCAGGCTGCTGGGTCCAGGACTTGGACCAGGGTCAGCCATGTGAGAGTCCAGGACCTTAACCTTCATGCCACCTGCTGGCATTAGTTATTTTTCTTTTTGACTATTAGAATCTTCAATACCACCCACAAATTGTTTAGGCAGCACATTGGGAGAATGATCTCTTTTGTATGAAAGATATCAAAATGTAGAGTACATAACTCCATAAAGTGATTTTTCTATTGAACATCACTGTGCAACTCCATCAGGAGTTTTCTTTCTTTAGTTGACTATTAATTTCTGCAATTATTATTATTGAAATAGTTCCAAAAGATTGCAATGTGATTAGGACCAAAAGAATGAATATTTTAGCAAATATATTGGCTGCTTATGGAATGAACTGCTTTTCCACAGCCAACTTTCTGCTGTAAACCATGTTATGCAATAAAATACAAGCTCCCCAAAATGGACACAGTCCTTCACTTTCTTTTTGGATTAAATTATAGCATCTTCCAAATGATTTTTTGGTATGCATGCTACTTTATCTTCATTATGAAAAAAAAATTGGATATGGTCTTTGGAGAAAATTACAGGCTTCATTGGGACACAAATAAATTATATATGGCCCATTAAAACCTGTCAGCTCAATTCAGATAACATTTATTTATTATTATTAGCATTTTAAAGGTTTATAGCTATTTTACAGATTATTTCACTGCCCTTTACTTACCCTCATTTAAAATTTTTTTTTCTGTGGTGAAGTGTCTAGTTTAATTTTTATTTCGATTACTTTCCTATTGAAAGTTAAATTTTAAAATGCTGCCTTCCATTTGCCTCCTAGATTTTTATCATATGCTGTGCAATAGGATTCTGTTAGAATTACCCATGAGCTCTTGGCCACTTACATTCATGTACTGTGTTGATATATGAATGTTGAAGGAAATTAATTTACTTTATCAAGATGTACTTATTACGTGGCACTGTGTTCCATGTCAAAATAAATCAAGCAAGAAGCAAACAAAGTACCATGTCATCAAGATAGTCAAGTATTTTGAAGAACATCTTTAAGTTTTTATATACTAGAACCAGTACTTTGGGAGTTTTAGCTCACATAATTTAGCTGGAGAGATGAGATTGCTGGATGTATCAATTTCCTTATCAGATTACCGAGAGATAAAACCATTTATGATTAACAGTGGTTGAAAGTCATATGTATTTCCACATGTAACAACATGGTTTCAGGAAGGTTAAGAAGTGTAACATTTAGAGATAGGTAAATGTTAATTTCAATACTGCATCTTCAATTTGCTATGTAAGTCACAATTCCTGCTATGCGAAATGAGAGTAATAATAAATATTTTGAAGATTGTTACCAGGATTATATGAGGTAATACAGGTATGGACAGTGACAGCCTGTACCGTTCAGTAGATGAGGGTGGGGTTAATCACTGATAGTAATGTGAGAGTGGTAATTGTAGAGATAAATATAAACTGACTTTTACTTTTTATTCAGAATTTTACTGTTTCACATAGGCATAATATGCACTCTCAAATGAATAAGCTCTCAAATTAATCTAATGTTGTAGCAAATATGATGACCTAGATGCTGTGCTGGTGAAGACACTGTGCTGTGATGATGGCGTGGGGAGATGATGCTGTGGTGCAAACGCTGGTGGCTACGTGTGATTAGAGTGTCATGTGATGACGGTGTGGTGTGATGGTGTAGTGCGATGTTGTATGGTACGATGATGATACAGTGAGGTGATGGTATCATGTGATAATGACGTCATGTGATTATTATCTGGTGTGTGATGATCATGTCTTATGATGATGGTGTGGTGTGATGTGGTGATGACGTGCTTGCTAATGGTGTCTAGAGGTAGCGGCATGAGGTGTCAACAGTGTAGTGTGTTAGGGTATAAAGTGAGGACAGTGTACCTCTTTTTTGACTGGTACATATTTTCACATGAGGAGTGATTCTAGAGGACCAGAATCTTCAGAATGAGTTTCCTGAATTGGTTCTGTATGTTCTGGAATTGGTTCTTTCATGTGATTAGATATGAAGCTGTAAATGATTCTATTTCCAATGCTAAAGAGGGCGCCAATAGTCCACGGTATGGTATGGGATAACAAAGCTATGCAAAATATTATGATTTGATATTCCTAATCATGTACATATGGAAGGCAAGGTAGTGGGTGACCATGTATCAGACATCAGCACATTGTAGTAAACTAAGGAGTATAATTGGGATTGACTAGTTGCTTCTATGTACACCAGAGAAAGTGGGGCGGGGGAGGAGAACTCACGGTTTCGAATTCATGGCTCAAGATCTCATACATGACTTAAAAACTTTAAAATCTGATTATTGGGAAATGCATGGAAAAGACATTGAATGATAAAGCGGGGAGATTGATGTCTCTGTATTGACTGACATACATGGCATTCCCTTTTGAAAAAGCAATGGAAGTCAATGTAAAGTTATGTGTAATCCAATGTAATATAAAGAAGATTATGATGATAATAATAAAAAAAAAACTTTAAAATCTGCCTTAAAATAAAACTTTATCTTTAGTAGTTGCTGGGCTTAGGTTTCTGAAAATTGAATATAGAGAGCTTTCTTGTGACTAGCTAAATTACAATATAAAGTAAATTTTTAGAATTTTAGTATGTCTTTGGTTAAAGTAAGGACATTGATTAGGAAGAATGGTACCCTGTACATGGGAATGAGGACATAGGTACAGATTCTGGTAAAGCTGGGGACACTGAACCCTAGATTCTCTTGAGTTTTTTGCCAGCAGAAGCAGTCCTTCATCTGACTGAGACAGTGAGCTTTACTTTACCCGAAGGAGATTTAAGGACCTTCCCTGAGATAATCCTCACAAGACATCATTGATTTTCCTCGGGATCCATCCCCACCATGCCTCTGCTTCTAGAGTTATCATCAAAATCAAGCCCCATCAGGCTTTGAAAACAGAGACACAAAGTGTGTGACCCATGAAGAGATATACTGCTCTAAAAGAACTGCATGAACTTTCTGATTTATAGAAGCAAAAATCCAGGGCATGTATGGAAATTTATCTTGAAGGTGTAGGATAAAGGCATAAGGAGCATAAAGTTGGCCAAATTCATGTATGTATTTATTTTTAAGAATGTTGGAAAAGTTAATTTTATTAGTGACAGAGAAAGTGTGTGTATACCCAGGGAGAAAGTGTGTGTATACTGAGAGGGAGAAAGAATT